TCCACAATCCCACACAAGGCGTTTAAACCCAGAACCTTCGATCTCTAGTGTGAACACTTGACCTATTGACCACTGAGCTGACATCCGAATATGTTAATGTTAAATGTTCGCGCACGAGGCCGACGGTGCTGAGCTCGAATCCCCAGTGTAGGATTGTGGATGCGCAGTTTTGAGAAATCCCATACTTGAATAGAACGCCCGTCCAGTACTCGACAATCTTCACAACTCCATGCTCATATTAATAATAATAATAATATTTTTTAAATCAAAGACGATAAATTTAACTTTTACTTTTAACATTTAGGCAAATTTCAATGTTCCAGATGTCATGATGAATTCACTTACATTTATCCATATATATCACATTGTTTATTTAAATGTCAAAAACAAACTATCATTCAAAGTATTCAATGGTTTAATCATCATAGATTCATAGAATCAAATGAGTTTCCTATTGAATTAACTAATAAATTTGCATATCAAAAGAATATCGATTTATTATTACATAACAATATGAATACACCATTAAATCAGAACAAATTAGATCATCATGAGAAGAACACAATTGAAAATGATGATGATGATTATGATATTGATGATGATGATGATAATGATAATGATACACAAGTAATGATTGAAACTAGATCCAACAAGATAGAGAATCAATTACAGAAAGTGGGAAATATTGAGAAAATGAATGAATTAACATCTATGAAAAATTTCAATTCATTACATAGAAAATATTTATATAGAATTCAATCTAATCATAAAATTGTCAAACCTTTTAAAACATTAAAGCAAACTACTTATATAGATGATAGTAGTAATAATTTGTATACTAAAAAATCTAAATTAAAAACTACATTATTACCATTAAAATCTCGTAATCCATTAGTTGAACAATTATTACAGACAATCATGTCACATAAAATAGATTCAAATGTTGAAAATAATTCATCCAATCTAATTTCGAATATGACATTATCATTAAAAAAGCCAATATCATCAACATCATCATCGACGACTATGGCAACAATGACACTGACAACAACAATAACAACAACATCACCAACATCACCGTTAATAAGTAGTTTAGCATTAGCACAAAATTGGTGTGCACGTTGTTTTATTACATTTCGTTTAACTAGTGATTTAGTACATCATATGCGTACATGTCATAATCAAGGTAGTAAATATTCTAATATAAAAGATCGTTTAGTATCACATCATAAAACAATGAATACAACTGATTCAGTCAATAAGAGAAAACAATTAAGCAATGAGAACAATAATAATAATAATGAAATGGGTTTATTACATTCTAATGGACAATCATCCATATCATCTTTGTCATCATTGACAACGGTTAGAACATCACCACAAATCACAATAACAACAGTGACGACAACGACGCCGACGACGACGACAACACCAACAGTACCATCTTATTGTTCAACATTAAACAAACCAATTTGTTCTTTATGTGATGAACAATTTAAAGAAAAACATCATTTAACTAGACATATGCTATCACATACATAAAAAAAATAAGTAGTTTGTTAAAATTTGGTATCAATATTTTGTTACTTCAGTATGATAATTACTTGGATTATCACCATTTTCTATATTGATCTGTGAATACTAACAAGTTATTATTAGTGATGTACAAACATTGGTCATGATGATTTACTTCTATTCCTATTCAGTTATTGCCCTCATAACATGATATTTAATATTAAGAAAGGACTTTAATTTCATTATATTCGTTTTGTAATTAGGAATAATTGTCATACTGTCTTTCTTGTATTCAGTGTTATTGAGGTAAACAAGAACATACAAAAACGGGGACAATCGAATGTATTTGAGTAAAACATTAAAGAATCTGTTAGTGAAATTTGTGAATCATACAGTGAATACTTCATTTGTAAAATGTCAATCAATCGTCTCAGACTTCATTGTTCTTTTGTTTCCACAGTAGTTATTCTTTGTTTGCGTTCTCCTTTCTTCGATCTTCTTTACCTTCTGTTTCACCAAGTATTTGATTTTCGACTGATGATACATACTACTTATATCTGTTGACATCAGTAGCACACACTGTACTATTGGAATTTTGCCTAACAAGTGAATTGATTTAGCTGTAAACTATTTACTTGATATGGTGGACAGTGATTGACTTAGATTTCTGGAATTCTGATGGGACCGATACTATTAAGGCGGTTCGAGTTTGTGTTATCAAGTATCACAGTAGAAGGCCTTGTCATTAAGCCAGTAAGGTCATAGCTAACATTTTTTTCAAAGATAATTTCAAAATGATTTCAGTGGTGTTTTGAAAACTTTTTATAAAAAGTTGTGAACAAGAGGGAGTGGTAATTTCATAGTTATACTTACTTGCTTATGCCAGTTACTCGTCATGAAAGAGCATAGACCGCCCACCAGCACTCTCTATATAATCCTGTCCTCTGCAATCCTTTCCAGTTGTTTTCAGTTGCTATTCATCCTTTTGATGTCTGCTTCCAATTCTAGACTCAGTGTGTTTTTGGCCTTCCTCTTTTCCGTTTCAATTCAGGATTCCGAATTGGGGCTTGCCTCGTGATACACTTAGGTGGTTTTCGCGATGTATATCCTACCCACTTCCACCGTCTTTTCCTAGTTTCCTCCTTGAATGGAAGTTGGTTAGTTCTCTCCCACAGTAGGCTGTTGTTAAAGGTATCCGACCAACGAATATTGAGTATCTTACGTGGAAAATTTTTTATAAATACTTGTACTTCTTTGATGATGGTTGTAGTAGTTCTACAAGTTTGAACTCCATACAGTAAAACTGTCATGACATTCTCATTGAAGATTTTGACTTTGATATAGGTTGACAGTTGTTTTGAGTTCCATATGTTCTTCAACTTTAGGAATGCAGACATTGCATTTCCAATCCTTTCCTTTACGTCTGCATCGGATCCTCCGTGTTTATCAATGGTTTTGTCCAGATATGTGAAGGTTTCCAAATCTTCCAGAGCTTTTCCATCAAATGTAGCTGTGTCTGTTTTCTCCGCCTGTAGCTCTTCTAGAGTCACTGCCAGTTCCAAGCCCGGGTAAAGGAGGAGGGTTGGGCATGGGATCTGCAACCCGATCCCGTAGAAGAAATCTTGCTAAAAACACGCCAATCAGATTTCATAGCTATATAAGGAAACAGTACTTTTTATGAACGGAATGTGATGATCTAATTTTAACTCTAGCAGTGTTAAACAACATTCCTATATATAGCTTGAAAAGACTGATGTTAGTTAATTATTTATAGCTCTTATCTGATAAGACTTTTACTTCAGATTTTAACTTGCACAGATCTATCTCAATTTCAATGGACAGCAGATTGGTTTTTGCTCTCCTTCTGCATTCAGAAAGCTCCTTAGTTAATAGTTATACCGTGAGCGGCCAAAACGAAAATGAGCATTTCGTGTTTGAATGGCAGGAGTTGGTTCTGATTTTAGCAGGCACAATTATGCGTTATGTTAGGTTTCTATACTACAATGGAACGATGAGACGAAATCGATAAGATGAACAATAAAGGGGTTTAAATAATGTAGTGGTAATATTAATGAGAGGTGAACATCTAACCCACACCCCAGGTATTGAAAAATGAAATAGTGCTAGTAATTTTTTTTTAAATCATGAACTCATCTAAGTTAAAACACCATTGAAAACTTGGAGGCATTGTGCTCACTAGTGACCAGATTCGATAGGACATTTTTGGGTTTCCAATGAGAAGCTGTGACCTATCGAGCTAATCCATGTCGGATATGAGGCAGTTAACCAACGGAGACAATCGAGGATCATCGCACAATGTCGTAGGTTGATTAAAGTTAGACATTAACACCTTTGGATGCCCGCTCAGTGGTCTAGAGGTTAAGCGTTCGCGTGCGAGACCGAAGATTCTAGGTCCGGTTCCAGCGTGCAGGATCGTGGGTGCACACTTTTGAAGAGTCTTATACTAGTCGTTACCATCGTACAGATGAACCATATTTTGGTACTAGTTTCCTTCATATGTTGCTTTTCAGTTCATCTAGAGCATAGACCTAAACGAACTAATAAACAGTATTTTGCAAGACAAGTCTCTGTGACAGCATTAAAGATTAAAACCTTGAAAGTTTCTATAATTATCAAACACCATGATTGTTATAGGGGGGATCGTGTAATGACGTCCTCTTTCCTACTGTATGACTATGTTACATGAGCTTTAAAAGTAGAGAGATACTAAACTTGCTATCAGTCAGTAAAAAATTTCATTTATATGATTCTTAAATGGTTACCTCATAAAGTCATATTGAACTTTCAGTAAGCGTAGGGAAGTATCGAGAGAACTATGTTAATGTTTATGAAAGTTTTTGTAACTGGGTAAAGGACCCAAAGGTTTACTTATTGACAGTGGACCAATCAGACATCTGGCAAATGACAAGTCTACACAGTCGACCAAGATATGCATTGATGTTAGACCATAACTGAAAACCTGGAAGCATTGGATGGCTGTTTCGTCCGATTGCGGGACTCCTCATCAGTGTGCATCTACGATCCCGCCTCACGGAATCTGTGTCAGGTAGAGACAGATATGTACCTCAGCACAATGGAATAAGGTCGCGCGATTTCGTGAATTGGTTGAAGTTAGACATAAACACCGTTGGATGCCGGTTGGATCAGTGGTGTAGAGGTTAGGCGTTCGCACGCGAAACCGAGGGACATAGGTTCAAATCCCGGATTCGGGATCGTGTGTGAGCACTATTGTGGAGTCTCATACCAAAACGAAACAGCCATCCATTGCTTCTATGTTTTCATTGATAGTCTAACATTGATCAGTTCATGATCTGAATACTTTCTAATCCTTTTGAACTTAAATTGCCTATCACTATATACGTAAAATGAAATCTTGCAACAATGTAAACTGCAATTCCCAATAGTAGATGCCACCTACTATATATAATGCCTCAAACAAATTTTCATTTAAAAAATATACTACTCACAAAGTATATTGAATAGTATGTAAATTATAAATTAATTTTGTTCAACAAAAATTATAAAACAAGCATCCATCGTTATATTACAATGGAGAAATTACATTATTATGATTATTACTTTTCAATCAATGATCAGAATTCTATTGATTTTATTTGATTAATAATTGTTTGTTAATGTTTTATTTAACCATTCTTGAACATTTAATTGTCCTAAATATTTTCGATTATAACGTTTAAATTTGTGATCCTGTTTTAAATGGATCAACCGTTGATTGGGATCATTTGAAGGATCTACAATGATTTTGTCATTTTTATTCATCATAGATTGATGATCTAGTTCTTTTTGAGATCTATATGAATCTAATTTATAATGATTCGATTTAGCTGATGAATCATTTATTTGATTGTTTATATCATTTGAAAGTAAACGATGAATAGGTAAGTATGATTTAGCACGTCGTCTAGTACGTTTATGTCGGTGTTTTGATTGTCTTTTACATGATTGTTGATTGAATTGTATTCGATGTTGTATATTTGAACATTGAATATTATTATTAGTATCATTATTCATAAATGTTTGCTCTAACGATGTCCTGTACCCATCGTTATGATTACATCGATGATTTTTAGATAGATGATTTTGAATTATTCTTTCATGTTTAGTTTGTGGTTGACTTGATGAACGATGATAATAGTGATGGTTGTAGGATCTATGTCTGAAAAAAAAGAGTGAATAAATCAAGAATGACAATTGTTTAGCTCATGGAGATTGGTTAATTAATTTACATTATTAACAATCATATACTTATTAATGACTAATTTTGAGAGGTAACCGCTAGAGTTGTTTTTGAGAAGCCATGATCAGTGAAGTCTAACTATTGTCGAATGTGAGGTATATGCATGCTGATAACAGTGAGTAATGGTTATTCAATACGAGGAATTGATTGAAGTTAGAGATGAAAACCAGAAAATACTGAGTGAATGATCTTAAGGTCAGACTCCTACTTCAAGTAGGTCCTCTCTTCAATCCCCGGTAAGATCATGAATCCTCAATACTGAGAGGTTTTATACTAGGATGGAACGTCTGAACAGTGCTGCCCAGTTTTAAATGGTTAATAATTGATGTTAACCGTGCGTTTAGGTCAGTTGGAAAATAGTTTATATTCCTGACCAGGATTATCCGAAGAATAAATGAGTGGGAGATAGGAAACCGAATATTTCTCCTTAGTATGAAACTTCGTGAATGATATCCTGTATCTGTTGATGACTGTGTTTTCCTAAACCAGAACAGAACACGTGTTTAGTACTCACTATTTTTCAATGATTTTCTATTTGACGTTGGCCCATAATGAAGGTTATCGTCGAAATTAAAAATTAACTCAAGATTTTACTTCAAAAGGATTGTTCATTGCTCTTGAGATACTAGACTTTCTATCAATACTGTGACAGTTTTTTAAAAACATTACACTCCTCTTAGACTTGGCAAACAAGAGGTATCATTCATTATAAAATAATAAACAGAATTTGTGATTCAGTACATGGTTACTGAGTTTTGTTAACATAATTTTCATTTCAACTAAAGATGTATTACTGACTAGCAGTGGAATCCAGGACGCGCGTTCCCTTTTAGTTGGGACACGTCAGTTGGATGTACTTGTATCTCAGAGTTGATATCCCCTCTGGGACTTGAACCCAATAACGTTCGCTTCAAACACTATTGCGTTATCCACTTAGCTACTGATTCCTGATATCCACTTGCTTGTGCAATGGGATGAGGTTTAAATTCACTTGGTATTGTTCACTATAATCTTCCCATATATACATATATACAAATAACAGATTGATCAATTTTAGTCCTAAACGTCAATGGGAAGATTAAAGTAACTAATACCAAATGATTTTCATTTGTTTATAACTAATAACAAGTCTGATCGATAGTTGATTTTTATAACTAGTCAGCTATCATTAACATACTGCCCAGTGTATTAGCCCAAGTTGACTTATCAGATCAACATAACAGGTTAACTAATGAATGATTAAAAAAAAAATCATAGTACCATTCATAGTAAGAATGACTAAATACTGAGAAACATGAATCTGAACGCAAGAAGCAACACTGAACCTTAAAGTCTACAGAACGATAATGAGTGAATGCATATGTACCACTGAAACTTATTCTGAGCTATATAATCTATGATCTTTAATCACTAATCGTGCTGACCCCTAGTAACTAGCTATTGTAGCTTGGAATTTTATGTATGTAGCTTGAATTTAGACATAATTAAATATTTGATTTGGTGATCAGTATATGCAAGAATTATAATTTATTATTTGACTGGGTTTTTTTCCATGTGAATTGTATATTGGTGGAGATAGTGTTAATCAAATTGTAAGTACATATTCCAGATTATCCTTTCTGATGATTATCAATGTATGAGCCATACAGTGAGTATCCAAAATCCTTGGTACGGCCAAGAGTGAGGGGAGAGTTAGCTATCCCACTTTAAATTCCCTCACATGACTACGCGTATACAACCACTAGCAGGGAATTCCTACTAATTACTTTCTCGCACCAGGGGTGTTGTTTACGAAATTAAGAGGACAAAAAGTAAATATTCGGCACTTTAAAAAGGTTGGTGGAAACAGAGGATCTACCTAAGGCAGTTGAAAAACCTGGTTCCAAACCAACTGTGTACATGGGCTCTAGGATCCTGAGGAAACAAATAGAGTATGAACCTACTGTTGGTCACCGACTACCATGAGACTGCATCTCCTGACGTTATTCCACTGCTTTTCGGATTAGACCTTCAGATCGAAAGCTCCGAGTGTGGCCCCCTCATTGAACCACCTGTTTCGGTATCGGTATTCAGACAGTATCACAGCCCACATGCAAATCAAGTGACTTATGTGGAACATACATATTCAGTGCCCCTTTGTACCAATATTTAGACGAATATTATATTATCAGAATGGGTTTTGTGGAGATTTTAGAAATTTCACTGATTGAAATCATGAGTCAATTGAAGCTAGATCGCCATGGAAAACCTGGAATCACTGGACGACCGTTTTGTCCTAGTATGGGGTTCCTTAGCAGTGCGCATCTAAGACAGCGCACCCCGTGAGATTCGAATCCAGGACCTATCAGTCTCGCGCTAGGCGCTTAACTAACTAGACCACTGAGCCGGCATCCAATGGTGTTAATGTCTAACTTCAACCAATCCACGAAATTGCGCAACCATCTTCCATTGTACTGAGGTAGACACCTATTTCTACCCAACACGGATTAGTTCCACTGGTCACGGCTTCGCACCAGAACTCCGAGAATTTTCTCACGAAGCTAGTCACTAGTGAGCACATGGTAACTATCAAAAAATTGGAAAAATAGTTACTTATTAGTTATTTATGCTTTGATTAGCCTTTATTTATAACTGAATTAAATCCATAATAAACTGCTTGTAGGATGAAAACTACAAAATGAGTGTAAAAATGGGCTTTCAATAAGGAAAAAACACCTCTTGATCATGTGTCAAACATCTATGAAATTGATTTTGCTATAAATAAAAAAAACAACGCAAAGAATAATCGGGAACCATTTTACACAAATTCACTCTAATAAGTACTGTATAAAATATCTCTCTCAGTGGTCTAGTTAGTTAAGCGTCTGGCACGAGACTGATAGGTCCTGGATTCGAATCTCACGGAGTGCGCGATCATGGATGCGCACTGCCAAGGAAGAGTCCCATACTAGGACGAAACGGTCGTCCAGTGCTTCCAGGTTTTCCATGGTGATCTAGCTTCAGTCGACTCATGATTTCAATCAGTGCAATATTATATTACTTATTATGTATTCACTATTTAATTAATGATACTTTTTTTGTAGTAAATAGATTAACTTGGAGAAGACGAACAGTGTGGCAGCAGTCTCAGCAGCAATAGGTCTCAATATACACAAAGGGAAAAGCAGGATTCTCCGATGCAACACAGCATGCAACAATCCAATCACACTTGACGGAGAAGATTTGAAAGATGTAAAAACCTATACATATTTGGGCAGCATCATTGATGAACAGAGTGGATCTGATGCAGATGTGAAGGCGCGGATCGGCAAAGCAAGAGCAGCATATTTACAACTGAGGAACATCTGGAACTCAAAGCAACTGTCAACCAACATCAAGGTCAGGATTTTCAATACAAATGTCAAGACAGTTCTACTGTATGGGGCAGAAACCTGGAGAACTACGAAAGCCATCATCCAGAAAATACAGGTGTTTATTAACAATTGTCTACTCAAAATACTTCAGATCCATTGGCCGGACACTATTAGCAACAACAAACCAGATCCCAGTGGAGGAAGAAATCAGGAAGAAGCGCTGGAAGTGGATAGGACACACATTGAGGAAAGCACCCAACTGCGTCACAAAGCAAGCCCTCACATGGAATCCTGAAGGTCAAAGGAAAAGTGGAAGACCAAAGAACACATTACGTCGGGAAATGGAGATAGACATGAGAAGAATGAACAAGAATTGGATGGAATTAGAAAGGAAGGCTCAGGACAGAGTGGGTTGGAGAATGCTGATCGGCGGCCTATGCTCCATTGGGAGTAACAGGCGTAAGTAAGTAAGTAAGTAAATAGATTAACTTACCTTAAATTATCATCTTTTGAAATATTTCGTTTATTTCTTGAATAATAATGTACTTGATTCCATAATGGAATAAACCATTGGTTACAATGACTACAACATAACATAGTTGAAGTTGAATTACCATTTACAGTATTATTATTATTATTATTATTATTATTATTATTACATTGTCCATTCAAATATCTTTGGTTCATATATCCTTTATTCATTTTAAATAAACACTGTTGACAATGTAACATAGTAGTAGAATTAGTTTGATCCAATGAATTCATCATTATTTTTGATCGATATTTACATTGATCACGATCATGATCATGATCATGATCATGATCATAATTATGAATATGATCAATATTTTTTGAAATTTGTCTTGAACAACAATCATCATTATTAACTTGTCTAGGATCATCATCATCATCATCATCATCATCACGATGATGATTAGGTAATATAGAATAACTATTTCGTTTATATTTAATATGATTATGATAATGAAGAGAATGATGATGATGATGATGATTATGATGATAGAAACTATTTGAATTCTTATGAAGTTTATATTTTTGTTTACATTTTTGATCATCAATAGTTTGATCAGTGATTGCGAATTGATTATTATCTAAATATGGTAGAATTGGATCTTTAGAATTATGATCTATTAAATGTTGACAAATAGAACAAATTATTGATTTTCTATTGATATGATCTTTAGATTGTGATAAGAAATGGTTTTGAGTATAATTTTGTTGTTGTTTTAATCGTTTATGATCCTGATCTATTTGATCTAATCCATGTATATTAGCTGATATTAATGAATCTATGGAATTATTATTATTATTATTATTATTATTATTATTATTATTATTCCATAATGAAGTTTTATCAATTTCTGTACCCAGTGTAGCAAGGATATGTGTTTTTTTTAATTTCAATTGATGAGTTGTTTCATTGGAAAGAGTTTTGTTTTGATCATTTATATTGATAGAATTAAATGTTGATTGATTTGATAAATGATTTGGATTCCATTTAATACATAAATGCCATGATTGTTGTTCATCATTATTGTTCATCTCTTTATATTTAGCTTGGTTAGTTAGATCATTTGAAGTATAACTAGCCAATTTGATATGTTGATGTATTTGTTTACTGGTTTGATGTGATTTTGATTTACTTTCATGAATATTCCTATTATTAGTAGTACTATTATCATAGTGATTTTGACCTAATTTTTCATATTCTGATACTTTTTTAATAAAACCTTTTGAACCATTGTGTTTTTTTCGTAGACGAGCTGCTACGACAGCAAAAACTGAATGTACTAATGCAGTGTCATCCTAAATTGATGAATATAAATAAAAAATGATATACTAACCTTTAACAGATTTATTACAATCAGATTAACTACTGAATAATTATATAAGTAGTTAAACTATAAATACAGATATTTCGTAACAAATGAGCTGACACTGAGCTGGCATCCAATGGTGTTAATGTCCACCACAGTACGCCACCGTACACCATTATCTTCAGCGAGTTGATATCTCACGACAGACATGGTTGAAATCCACTGGTCACGGCTTCTCACTAGAACTCAAGGAATACCTCTTGAAGTTAGACACTAGTGAGCAGATTATTATTACCAGAAGGGGTTTGTGAAGATTTTAGAAATTTCACTGATATAAATCATGATTCAATTGAAGCTACACCAGCATGGAAAATCTGGAAGCACTGGACGGCCGTTTCATCCTAGTATGGGACTCCTCAGCTGACTGATAGGTCCTGGGTTCGAACCTCGGGGAGTGCGGGATCGTGGATGCGCACTACTGAGGAGTCCCCTACTAGAACGAAACAGCCATCCAGTGCTCCCGGGTTTTCCATGATGGTCTAGCTTCAATTGACTCATGATTTCAATCAATGAAATTTCTCAAATCTCCACAAAACTCCTTCTGAAAAAGATCATAGACACACAAAAGTTGAAAGAATCGTTGTTATGTGGATTATTGAAATATTTTTAAAGTTTCTCAATTGTTTTGAGAGGTATATTTCTTAGTTCATTTTTTAGCTTAACAATTCACTGACAACAAAAGTTCACTTGTTACTTTAGAAGTTGTAAACATTCTAAGTGATTAGTAGATGAAAATGTATGAATCTTCTGTACTCGAATTTATTAACTCAATACTAGATTATGAATTGTTGATTAATTAATGATAAGTATGAAATATAGATGAAGTATGGCTCTTTTAAAGGCTTCTAAATAACCAAACTCATAAAATGCGGTATCATTTAATGTAATATATATTGGAGGATCTGATGTAGATGTACAGGGGAGGATTGGAAATGTAAAGGCTTCATTCCTACAATTGAACAACATATGGAACTCAAAGCAACTGTTAACCAATATCAAAGTCACAATCTTCAATACGAACATTAAGACAGTGAAGACAGTTACTGTATGGAGGTGAAAATCCAAGAACTATCATAACCATCATTAAATAAGTACAAGTATTTCTGAACAATTGTCTACACAAGATACTCATTATCCATTGATTGAATACCATCAGCAATAGCCTTTTATGAGAGACTCTCTATGTAATGCGGGAAATATGTTTTAAATCGAGTCACATTGATTGTAACTTGGGGATATGAGGAATTAACATTATTTCGTAGGGAAGGATAAAGTCAGAAAAGTTAAAGTCAGGATCCAAACATTGAGTCTCCAAAAAAAAGGAGGTAATATGATGGAAAGAAAAGTCAATTTCCGATTGATTTACTCATTATGAGTCTTGTTCAAAATTACATCCATTTTGATTCAACGTGAGGATCATTCACTACATTCAGTTTCCCCGTATGATATTTTATTCTGTACAATATACTATATTCTTGTATTCAATGGACATGAACTATGCTCAGTATGTGATTTGTTATAACTGTAAGTATATTTCATATATGTGATTTCACCAAAGTGTGTCTAAAATCAATATATGAATGTATTTTTGACTAGGGTCATCGTTATCGTCATGTTTTGGAGGTTAATCAAGCTTCATTTATACTAGTCTTTGTGTTCTTACTTTCGTATTGTGGGAATTTGCAGTAATCCCTCGTTTCGAGTATAAGTGATAAACATTTCCGACAGAACAATCAACGACGACCAGATATAATAAGTAACGTTTAATCCACAAAACCCCATTCTGATACAAATTATATTTATTATGGATACGGTGACACATGGTGTAGTGAAGGAGAATACAGGTGAGGACAACCGAATTATATTTAGCACAACATTACAAAGTTACTTGGTAAAATAGTGAAACCATACTATAATACTTAATTTGCAAAATGTTCAATAATTGTCTCGAACTTCATTGTTCTTGCGTCTCCATATTAATTGCTTTCTATTCCCGATCTTCCTTTCTTGATCTTCCCAATCTTCTGCTGCCAGACATTACATTCCTGACTCGCGTTATATACTACTTATGTCAATTTAAGTAGCACGCACCACAATGGTAGTGCCATTTCGTGAATTGGTTGAAGTTAGACATTAACACCGTTAAATGCTGGCTTAGTGGTCCACAGCTTAAACGTTCACGTATCAGACCGAATTCCCTGGGTCCAGATCACGCGAGGCGAGTCTCGGAAGGTCTCATATTAAAACAAGCCAGTCATCCAGTGCTTCTAGATAGCTTCCATGATAGCTAAGCTTATTATACACAATCAATATTAAACAATCTTATACATTATAATCGATTATTCACTTAGTAACTAACTAACTAACTAACTAACTAACCTCATTTAAATTTTGTTCATTTTCAAAATCATAAAATGTAAATGACCAATGTTTTCGATATTGATATTTTGACCAATGATTTAATGAATTAATAAAACATAAATTCGATGAAGATGATAATGATAATGATAATGATGATGGTGATGATAATGATGGTGATGATGACGATGACGATATTGATTTCATTGATTGTTGATAAATAAATGAATGAGATCGATGTTTTCGTTTTATTGATTTTTTTAATCTATTTAATTTAGATCGATGATGATAATCATTTTTTGGTTCAATATTTTGATCCATTAACGTTTGACCACTATTTGAACGACTTGTATTAAAATGAATATTGGATGTATATGGTTTTTGTAAAGAATAATTATTGATTAATGAATTAATAGTAGTAGTAGTAGCAGTAGTTGTTGTTGTTGCTATGGGATTGTTTTGTAGATTTTCATTGTTTATTAATATTACGTCATTACTACCTGAAGTATGAATGACTGGAGTTCGATATGTTCCTTTTTGAGACTACAAAATGTAAATAAACAGAGTATATAGTATATAAATAAAAAATTTCAATGGTTGAGATCATGAGTCAATTGAAGTTAGACCACTATGGAAAACCTGGATGCACTGGATGGTTGTTTCGTCTTATTGTGTGACTACTTAGCAGTACGCTTCTAGGATCCCGCACCTCGCGGGATTCAAACCCGGAGTCCTGGTGAGAAGCCGTGACCAGTGGAGCTAATCCGTATTGCGTAGAAACAGGTGTCTACCTCAGTACAATGGAAGATGTTCGCGCAATTTCGTGGATTGATTGAGGTTAGACATTAACACCATTGGATGCCGGCTCAGTGGTCTAGTGGCTAGGCGCTCGTGCACGAGACTTACAGGTCCTGTGTTCGAATCCCGCCGGATGCGGGATCGTGGATGCGCACTGCTGAGGAGTCCCATACTAGGACGGAACGGCCATCCAGTTTTTCCAGGTTTTCTATGGTGGTCTATCTTCAAATGACTCAATATTTCAATCAAAAACTTAACAATCTCCACAACCCCTAAACTGATAAAGATATAATTTGTCAGCTGATGAGCAGTTCTGTGAATAATACGAATATCAGATGAATAATTACTATGCAAATATTTAAAAAAGGTGTTGTTATTTCAGTTTAATGACTTTATTCGATCAATTATTTGGTTATAGGACGGTTTTATTATGTATCCTCCTGTAGTGTCAGTTGCTATGTTAAGCCGACATAGTTCATTCTAGCTTCTGAACAAATCAATTTATTAATTCCTGTTGAGTTACATTTTCACCTTGTTAATTATTCACTTATCAACCCTGACGGCTTTTATATGACCGCATATATGTGTATGTACAATTCCTACCCTATTCATCACATGTCTGTAACTTATTTTAGCCTGATTAGAAAGAACCATTAATGCTTGGTTAAATCGAGTTGGATTACTTGCCTTCTGCATTCAGCGTCATTTCGTTTCACTTCGCTCTCTCTTCTTCGTTTCATTCGCTGTGATTGTCTGATTGTCTGTTCCGATTACCGAATGTACAAATTATACGTATTCAAACATTCACGCGTATACAGCCACTGTTAGAAAAGTTCTAATCACTGCCTTCTCTCGACAGGCGTGTTGTTTACGAAATTGAGAGGACGAAAAGAGAATGAGTCACAAGTACAAGCTGATGATAGTATGGTGTATGCTACTGATGTCGACAGTTATAAGTAGTATGAGTCATCGCTAAAAGCCGAATCCCTAACCGTAGAAGATTAAGAACGTCTGAGAAAGGAGAACGAGAACAAAGAATGATTGATATGGAAGCGAAAGGGAAATGAAGTCTGAGACGACTGATTGACATTTTACAAATGAAGTATTTACTGTATGATTCTCAGATTTTACTGAGTGATTCTGTAATTTTATAATCAAATACATTCTATTGACCCCCATTTGTGTTCTCGTTCACTACAACATAATTTCAATTACTTATTATTTTAGCTATCCACAGTTTAACAAAATGTCGAAGATATTCAAAATCAGACTACTACTGCAGCCATTTTATTCACAAATGATATCTCGTAGAAACAATTCATTTTGAGACAAAACATCGGGTTTTCCAATAGAGCGAGTTACTTGGAATACCATTTCGGAGATTTAATTATGTGTGTTGAGTTCGACCGCTGCATGCAGAAGCTCCTACTACAGTGATTGTCTTCACCTGCATTTGTAATGGTGTATGGGATAGAAGACCTAGCTGATCTGTGAAGTCTAAATCGTCTAGTAGCATCTAAGCTTTTCATGGTGGAAGTGTTGATAATTCAGTCAACCATCAAAAGTTAGAGGAAGGGCAGGAGTAATCAACCTTATCTGACTGTGGTCCTCAATTGGAATACGCCTGTCAGTTTTCTTCCATGCATCACTACGCATTGATAAAATAGTAAAGTGATACTCTAATACTAATTTTCCAAAATGTTCATTAATTGTCTCATACATCATTTTTCCTTTATTTCCTTACCAGATACTTTGTATTCCCATTCTTCCCTTCTTGATCGTCTCAATCTACTTCTATCAGATATTCTATACCTAACTCACATTTACATACTACTTATATCGATATAAGTAGTACACTCATATATACACAAAAATATAACTTACATCATTCAATTTTATATAATCAGTTATACATTCATTGAATAAATGATTATGATTATGATCATGTTTATGATTATTTTCTGTTATTTTTACATTAGGGAATAATAATGTCCAATTTGTTTGTGTTGTTGTCAAGGCTAATTCTTGTTGATCATGGAAAGGATCATTTTGTAATGTTTGTTTATTTTGTTTATTTAATCTTTTATGAAAATCAATTAATAAATGAAAATTATTCATTTTGTTTTTATCTACATCATCATTCAATATCAAATTAGAATGATTGTTTATCAAGAGATTTGGATTGATAATTTGTTTTACTGAACCTGATGGGGATGATGATGACAATGATGGTGATGTTGATGATGGTGATGAGGATGACAATGATGATAGCGATGGTAATTGTATTGTTGAAGTTGTTTCTAACTTTTGGTGTGCTATTTGTGATGGTGGATGTAACAATATTGGTAATGATGAAGAATTAAAGTGATCTTTTCTAGCTTCTTCATCTACAGTTAATCTACTAGCTTCTGTATTATTATTATAAGTGTTAGTACTATTGGTAGTAGTATCAGTAGTAGTGGAAGTCAACGTCGTCGTCGACGTCATCGTCGACGTCATCGTCATGGTTGTCGTCGTCGTCGTAGTAGTAGTATTACTGACTATTGTCTTATTTGAAATCTTTAATTGATCAATAGAATTATTAAATTCACTTAATGGTAAATATGTAATATCAGTACCAAATTCACCATCTTCATAATATGAATTATCATTAAGATCAGCTTTTATACTTTCATCATAACTATGTAAACGTATATGATTGAATTGATTTTTTCGTTTATTTCTTTTTTCATTACGTTTTGATCTTTTATTATAATTCATTATTGAATTACGATTTGGTATGGATTTTGCCCGATTTAGTTTGTGATTATTATTTCTATATGATAATTCCTTAGAATCTGATAATAATGGTTTTGTTATTAGGTTATCACGACTCATATTGCAATTTATACTACTTATATGAGTATTAGTAGAGTAGTAGTAGTAGTATTGATAGGGAAAGAATTATCTACAAATGTAGAATTCCATAACCAATTTGGAGATATTGAATTATAATAATCTTTTCTTTCATCAAAACGCAATAAAATTAACATTGAATCAATAGCTTTTCTTAACATTAGTAGTATATAATAAATATCCACATATTGGTTTATGTTTACTAGAAAACTGCCAATGATTTTCTAATATCTACAAAAGAGTAAAAATAGGAAATGATTAGTAAAGAGTTATGTAGATTATTGAGTTTTGATTGAGATTAAGCAGTGGATGGCTGTTTTCACCTAGTATGGGACTTCACAGCAGTGCGTACCTACAACCCTAGAGTAAGAGACTCGAACTCAAAACCTTCAGTCTTGTATGCGAACGCTTAACCTGTAGATCATTGAGCGAATAATAAGAGTATCATAACATCTATTAAGCGTTTAATACATTTCAGTTAAATTTTACAGATTTCTATCATTTGAACTAAATATAAACTTCTATAGGAAAGAAAGAGATTGAATATTTTATATTGCGTAATCATCAATGCCTTTCCTAGATCAGATCAAGTAGACTAGCTTAGTTAATTAAAATTGTATGGAAATGAATATACTACAATATTCGATCAGAAGTTGTGGTTGATCCATTAAACATAAATTATTAAGTAGATACTTGTTGTTAGGTACTTTAATGTTCTCTACTCATGATAAACACAAGGTTTATATAAAAATAGTTTCATAACTACTATAGGATAGTATCTTTCCAACACCTAATTATTATAGTAAACTGATGAATGACACACACACACATGCAAAATCATATTTCGGTGGAAAAATCAAACCAAATGATTAGTAAATACCTCAAGTCATGTTACAATAATTCCATCGACTTTAAGGAGAAAAAAACAACTAATCATTCCAGATTGCTCACTTAATAATCCTTTCATTGTCTTAATAACTACTCAATGACGTGTGCTACTTATATCGACGTTAGTAGTATATAACCATAGTCAGAAATAGAATATCCATTAGCAGAAGATTGAGAAGGAAATAACGGGAACAGAAAGTAATTAGTATGAAAATGTAGGAACATTATACTTTAAGACGATTGATTGATATTTGCAAAAGGAATAGTCAAGTTTCCGACAATTGATTGACATTTTATTAATTAAGTATTCACTGTATGGTTCCGAGATTTTACTAAGATGTTCTATCATTCTGTTTTTAAACACATTCGATTGTTTCCATTTTTGTTCCCGTTCATTACAATACTAATAGAGAAGTGGTCATGCTCTGTTTGTTTTTCCTTTGTGGTATAATTTGATTAGTGGAGCATACTTCTATTTACTATTCATCATAGTTTACAATCTAAATCATTCACCAATATACAATTTACTATATAACCCTTACTTACTATATTTTATCAATTTCATTGCAAATATCTATTCCTTTTCTTCAGATGAAAATCATTCATAAATTGGTTAATAAGAATAAACAATCATAAAACTACTTTTGTTTACTTCCCGTCCCCCCCCTCACATTTTAATTCATATTCATTACATATAATAATCAGTTTAATAAAATAGATAATGTAGAAATACATTTTATAAACATGATTCCTTAGACGGTTGACGGTGGTGGTGGTGGTGTGTGTGTGGGGGTGTGTATGGAGGTGGATGGAAACAAATCCTACTGAATAATTTGTAGTTTATTATGTGTTTATATATTTACATTTTCTTTCTAAAAAAAAGTCCACATAGTTCCGCTTGTCTATCCTGCTGTTTTATATTTTTTCGTTTTGTTTTATCTAACCGGTCTTTTATAACTTTTTCTTTTGATTTGTTTTATGTATATATATATGACGTGTTTTGTTTTCACTGTTGTGCCTACGTGTTCTTCATATTAGATCACTAATAGACAACAACATCAAAACTATACAATATTTACACTTACACTTACACTCATATGGGTAAAATGTGCATTTTTAAAATTAACCGGCATTATTCAAAAGAACCTTTTAGTTTAATTATTTAAACAAATGTAATTTTTTTTTAAAACAAAAACGCACCGATTTACGATCAGCGATAAAACTACCACTATCGAACATATACAATTACACTTTACCCCGTTTACTTGGAATACGGGAGGGGGGGTCTTTCTTTCATGTGAATATGTGCTTGTATAAGCGTGTTTACATGCGGTAACACCCATCATCGATATTCTATCAATGTATTATAAACAGTTCGACTATAAGTAGACAGAAAATGCATTAATTCTTTTTACTTGAAACTATTTCGAAAGCATCATAATTCTTGAATCAAAAGGTGGTTGCTATGCCAAGAAGATATTGACAATGAAAGAAATATAATAGAAAAATATGAAACATAATTACAGGTGCACTACATATTACATACATCTGTCCCCCTATTGATGTTATGAAACAATGTTTTATATATATGTATGTTAAGATAAGGAGTGGCTTGTTCATCTTTCAAGGTTAGACTAGACCCTGAATGATGACAGGTCAAAGTAGACAGTTAGAGATTATTCATTAAAAGGTAAATGTGTATGTGTACTACATATTATACATGGTATGTGTTTGGGCATTTTTGTTTTGTAAAACATCAAAATATAAACTGATTATCTATATTTATTTATCTATAATATTCAATAATTTGTCCATTAATAAGAACCTTCTACTGGTAATTAATGTGTACAACAAGAAAATATAGTTTTTGTTTTACCTCTTTTCCAACTTGTATGTGTATGTTAATGACTATTAGTTGTGTGAAAATATAGGATTCCTTCTAATCATGATTGATTTATGGGTGCTAGATTTTAATGAACTAGTAATACCATGTATATATATATATATATGCGCACTGTTGAGGAGTTCCACAGTAGGACGAAACGGCGGTCCAGTGTTTCCAGGTTTTCTATGGTGGTCTAGCTTCAATTGACTCATGATCTCAACTATTAAAATTATTATAATATCCACAAAACCCCTCCTAACATTAATCAACGTATGCTCATTAATGATTGGCTTCATGATGTATTTCCTGAAGTTCTAGTGAGGAGCCGTGACCAATAAAGTTCAACCAGGTCTGTTGTGAGATAGCAACTCACTGAAAACAATGGAGGACGGTGGTGTTATTTCTTGGATTGGTTGAAATTAAATATTAAAACCGTTCGATGCCAGTTCGATGATCTATAGGTTAGGCGTTCATGTACACGATAGTGAAGGTTATGGATTGGAATTCTACAAGCGGGATCGTGGATGCGCACTGCCACGGAGGAGTCACACATTAGAACAAAACGGCCGTCTAATGCTTCCAGGTTTTCTATGGTGGTCTAGCTTCAACTGACTCATGATCTCAACTATTAAATTACTATAATATCCATTATATATATATGTCAGTAAAAAAAAACTTTCAGTGGTTAATAATTTCCGGAAATATATGGTTTTCGGGATAGTTCGACATCTCTATTGACCATGTTACACAATAAAAACAAAATTTTTAGTTAAGCTTTATAATCAAATCATAATATGATCTAATGTGATTTGTTTTCTCTAATCAAGATTGACAGTCTATAAATTATTGACTTCTCTGTCTCAATATACAATCATTTATATAACTTCTTGTTATAACTTGTTATCGCCGATAGAGAGAGAGAGAGAGCAGTGACTTATCGGTCGGATCAAAGACGCGTAAAACACGTGAGAACAGCCTAGAGTTCTAATTGACCCTGCTTTCCGCCTAGCCCAGCCAGTTAAGTCATGAACACCAGTCTCAGCATTTGCAATATGAATCCTTATATTTCAAACATACTGAGTTTATATACCAATCAAACAGACGACAACGTACCAAGAAAATATGAAACAACATTTGTACAAGATTTAGCCAAATGTGGCTGTGAATGTGGGAGGCAGTGACTAATAGACAGGGCATAATTTAAGAATGGTAAGACGTATGATAATAGTTGATAGATCAAAATAAAGCTTATGATTAAAGGGACATGAATATGAATAGCTTAGTTACTTAACAATTAAACGATAAAAATATACGTTTAGTATTGGTCTATCAATAGATCCTAAAAGTTACCATTCATTATGTTTATCGGAATATAACACTTTTCTCTCAAGTATCATCCATTTTCTTTTTTTTTTATCTTTGGATTATTTTATTTGATGTTTGTTTGATTAGTTTGTATTCAATGTACATTCAAACTGATATAATCATAATAAAGGTGTTGGGATATTCAGGAAAATATCCCAAAAATTATCCTGTTAAGCCTAGTGCTATCCTTGAACATGAAATAGTATCATCTTATTGGTCAGTATTTATTTAACGTGTCACTTTCCTACTGGCCATTATTGTACAATGTTATCTTCTATTTTATGGTACGTTGTGGACTGCTTGAATGGTATATAAACAAGTATGTTTGAAATATAATGATTCATATCTCAGAGGCTGAAACTTGTGTTCTGGACTCAACTGGCTGGGTTAGGCAGGGAAGCGAGACCAATCAGAACCCTAGGTCGTTCTACGTGTTTATGCGTCTTTGGTCCGATCAATAATTCGCTATCCCCCTTCAGCATCATTATTTTCCACGTTATAACAAAAGGAGAAGAATGAGTTGATATAAAATGAGAATTGTTATTGATTAATTCACTTAATGTGAATATAATACTATAAATGTACCTTTTGAAGTCAATTAATTAAGTCTACCAGTACAGCTAAACAAAATATAGTATAGATCAATTCTATAATAAGTAACAGATTGTATATATCAGAAGGGGTTTGTAGAGATTTTAGAAATTTCACAGCTTGAAATCATGAGTCGATTGAAGCTAGACCACCATGAAAAATTTGGAAGCACTGGACGGCGCAACTTCGTGGATTGGTTGAAGTTAGACATTAACACCGTTGAATTACGGCTCAGTGGTCTAGTTGGTTAAGC